GGAAGAGTGTTACAGCTGAATGTGTTGTTGTTGGAATAGGCATCCAGTAACTCCGTTATCCATCCATCTGGGAGGAAGTTGCACCATCCGACTAACAGCACGTCAATAAATTGACCTACTCAGGATATCAGTACGTCACCCAAATTAGCCTCGCCGGATTATTCGAAAAAGAGTGTGGTGTCATGCTAATCTCATTCGTAAACCGAATGAAGTAAACTGCCTTGGTGTTCATCATTATCCTATTCTTTTCATGCCACATGAAGATTTTAAAACAGGTTCTGTGTGTCGCTTCCACCTAGTTGCACACACACAGTACTGGGACGTCTTAGAGTACGAAGACACCAACCCGTCGTTTTACTATTGAAGGACAAATCTGTTTGGGATAGAAAAATTTTTTTATGCAATTGTTACTAACGATAACAAACTCGCACAAAGTTCCAAATTTCTGACTTTACACTACCCACCTCATGAGCATAAAAAGTTCTACTCCATCACAGTGAACGAACCCGAACCCAAAATCTTTCAAAAAAAATGGGTAAATATAACTCGTATTTACTGGCTTGTGTAAAAGTTTTTGCACACATAAAGAAAATGAGGCGCAGGCAGAGAAAATCTGCTGATTTAATCGCATATGGTTGGCAGAGTATCCTAATATCGTTTCTGTACCCTGTTACACTGCACTGAGAAATAAATTATGGCTGGTGAGTTGTCAGCCTCGACTGAGGCTGTTCCAACGGCAATTGCATCCACCAAAAACCCAATTTCACCCAAACCTTTCTCCTCTTTAATGTTTGCACTATCTTTTGTTCCAACATCTGAGTGTACCGCGTCAATATATTCTTACACAAAGTATAGTCGTATAAGACTAACCGTTTTGCATAAACTTGGATTCTTTGCACTATCTTTTGTTCCAACATCTGAGGGTACCGCGTCAATATATTCTTACACAAGGTATGGCCGTATAAGACGAACCGTTTTGCATAAACTTGGATTATCTTAAAGCTGGTTGAACTACAGCTGCACCTAACCTTATAAAGACCCCAGCAATCTATTCTGCTTTCCAAAAAAGAACTTCTAGAAGCGACTATCTTCTCTTGATTTAGCAAGTGGAGAGAACTTAAGGTCTTTTAGAATTTACAGAAACGTTTCGTGAATTTTGGCTCCATCGTTTCCCAAAAGCTTCACAAAATCATGTAACACAAAGAATTTGTTATGGAAGTTGTTGGATTTCTAGCTCCGGTATGACAGGACGTTCCGACGTCATGTGTAGCCGCATCGAAAATATTTTGCGCATAATATTCCACTGTATAGTATGAGAGGACAGAAACTACCTCGAGGAACAAGTTGGAAAGGCAGGCAATTACATTACTTCAAGGAACTATGTGAGCCCCAGCTTTACTTCAGGGGCGGTCTGGATGGTTGATAATTCAATGGGACGATGGTTGGGTACATTCCCGAACTATAACGAACCTACAAGACGCAGGAATTTCCTTTGCGGATAGACTTGTTAGTTGTATTAGGACACAGCCCACAGGATACGTTGTTAGGTATGAAAATGCACAACGGTATTATTACTTTTCTGATAACCAGATGCCAAAAAGCGCGAGAAAAAAGACGACCCTGGCCAATTCGGTATATTTTAGAATACATGCAGCTAGAAAGCGAAAAGATATCCTTCTGCGGTCAACTTGGTTTTCGCCCGAAGTCGAACGGCAAATAAAAGGTGGAGCACAAGCAACAAAATACCGGAGATGGACATCTTCCCTTCGTGGTAGAAATTGAAGGCACTCAAAGAAATATGATTGTTTGAATGACAAACAGCAGTGGGGTTTTTCTCACTCAGATCAAAATGAGCGTGCAGAAAACCCGACCGTTTAGACTCAAACTGCGTTCCTGTCAGCTTTCCGTTGAACAACCGTTATAACCAAAAGCACATCCGAAAAATGCTTAAAGGCCAACTGCTATTTTCAGAAACCTAATGAATAAATGGGTACTAGTTTTTCACGTAAAACCAACGAACCTAGAGTGGACCTCTTAAGCCGAATGCCACTTATGGAGAAATCACTGGAGTTGAGTGGATTTACTAGACGGGCAAGGGCAATGAGCCTAAAGTGACTTCAGTATTTCGCTTCATTTTTCCAGTGGTACTATGCCTTAGTGGACACCAGAATCAACTGGCTTGCTTCAAAAAGCACACCTCTAAATATGGTTTGAGTCCATGGGAATTTCCACAATGCATCCTAACCTGACTAATTTTAGCATTTATTATTAGGTACTTGCTCAGTGTGAGTAGTGTGAAATTCAAATCTTTCATTGATGCCGGCTGTCGCAGACTGTCACTTCGCTGGTTTGTTCGAGCGAGTTCACAATCCTGACGACAATGCACGGTGGAACAGAGAAAACGACACACAAAAGTGAGTCCCTTCCTTTATAAGAGCTCTATGAATCTGTCTGTATGTTTTCGGGTTACTGGTTTTCTCTCTTTAACGGCCGTTAATTCCTACAAGCCGACCGATTAAGCTTACCCGTTTCATTTCACTAAATTAGGGTGTCACCAGTGATTGAGATCAGTCTAGGCGAACTCAATAAAAATTAAGGGGTGTACAAATTACATTCTGAAAACGCCTTTGTGTAAAGATGACTGTGGCATCATTTTGAAGATGTTTAGATTTTCCTATTCTGCACTTTTGTCGAATTGGTTAAACTCCGGGTGACCTGTCAGCCTAGGCAAAGGTTCTCTCTTGGCCGTACTCGTAAGAACAAGTCTACTTGTTGGAACGTGTGGTCGGGCCTCGGGCAATCTAATGGGGAAACTTAGACAAACACAGGGGTTCCTATTCCGGCTACCATTACCTTGCTTCTATCATTACACCGAATGATTGGATCAGTGCAGTGTTCATACAAGAGTCGACTAATCCACATTGGTATCTGACGCTATCAGAGTAAAACATTTACCTACAAGCCATAATCCGAATCAAGTTAACTCAGGTAGGGTCAGGTAGGCTTTGGTAAACCAGTGTGAACAGACCGATTAGTTATATCGATGACCTCATCAAAATAACCAGGTCCACCTCTAGTCTTTGAGAGATCGTTGACATTGTGCGCTGGATTTTGCAGCAGGAACCTCACTGAATGCCGGGTTGGGCAGCCTCGATATTCTCCTTTCTCTTACTTATGATAGATAGGAGCTGGAGAGAAAAAGAGTGCGAAAAAATAGCTATCATCCTGATCATCCGAATGACACCAGGAGTCCACTAGCCACATCGATCTCATCCGAATGACACCAGGAGTCCACTAGCTACCTTGATGGCGATTAAGTCGCCTTTCTGGATGTAAGTGTATGTTGAGTGGGACTGAAACACCTGCTGTCCTGTGATAATCCAGCCTAGAATATGCACAGTGTGTGGTACCTGTCACGCCAACGGCACTCCGCGCACAGTGCCACATGCGCTTTGAACTGAGCCGCGTGTGCGGTTTGGTGAACGCACTTCATCAGGTATAAAGTTGGAGGAATAAGATCAGAAGTGGTGACTCTGAAGCCATCAACATAACTTGGTGGTGCCACGTACTGGGTGAAATTGTCTTTTTGTGCACAAAAGTGAGAGATTTGCATCCGAGGAAAGAGTTGTCTTTGCACACACAAAAGTGAGAGATTTGCATCCGAGGAAAAATATTCGAAAAAAAATTCGAAAAATATCGAGTGATGGCCTTTACTTATCAAATCACGTAAGGAAAATTGAGTAATCGAGACCCACACCACATGCGAAAGGTGGCGTATCACTCATAAGGCCTGTCTACGGGGTATATCCTACCCACAGCGTGTGGCCAGCTAATAGCCACTTCGTTCTGTACAACTGTGGTCACTTATAGCAGCGTTTCAAGGAGTTCCATATTCTTACTGCTGGTCATTCGGAGATATGTGGATAAGGTGCACTTGTAATACCGTCAAGGACAGAAAAAGGATATTCAGTGCTGCCATACAGTACAGTATGATACAGCGAGTACAAAATAAACGTGAGCCGTCAACTGAAAACAGCTAAAACTCGGAAACCCAAACCGCTGGCCCAAATTGGTGGACTACCGAAGGCTTTAATAGTTTTTGGGGGTGATACTTCCA